TGAGCTTTTGCTTGAATCATATAGCGACTGACGGTCTTTTGCTGGGATTGGGCCTGGTGAAACTATTCAAATAACTCAACTTCAAGCTCAGGATACTTAGATTTAGCGCCAGGTGCTAGCTTTTGAACATGCGATGCAACTTTCATAAGCTCTGGTTTTTTACTAATCTATTCTCTAAGTTGCTTCGGTTCTATTTCAAATTTATCAGCTGTTGAACGCTTGCTATGCCCTTGTTCATAGTAAGTTATAATTATTAATTTTTCACGTGCTGACCACTGTCATTTTTTTTTTTTTGTCACTTGGGCGTGACGAGCTTTAAAATTTCTACAGACCATTTTGATTCTTAGTATAATAAAAATCTTTGATGCCTACGGTTAAACCTATAATGAAATTTTTTTTTTTGATAAATCAGTTTTTATTTTTATTTTTTTAAAAAAAAAATTATTCTGCTTATAAATCTTACTTGTGTGCAATTATACAAATTATTTTTGATAACTACTCTTAACGTAGTAAAGAGTAATAATCCAAGATATGAACGCCTCTTAAATTTAGAATACAACCTAACTTTTATTGAACATGAAATTAATTTGAATTTTTCAAGATAGATAACAAAAACTAGGTTCAGTTTTTGTTATCTATCTTGTGATCAATCCTTAATCATGACAAATTACATACTATGAGCCGTCCAGTAAATTTTTTCTAAGTGTCAAAAGTTCAAACACCACTATTATAACGGGAGTTACTTGTAGTTCTTGCTTGGTTTATACAGTATATCCGTTATCCTTACAGGTCTTTGTATTGCCACTATTGTTGCAGCTCTTGTTGCTGCCATTGCCCTTGTAGCAGCTCTTGTTGCTGCCGTTGCTCTTGTAGCTCTTGTTGCTACTGCTATTGCCCTTGTAGCTCTTGTTGCTACTTCTGTCTTTGCAGCTCTTTCTTGTTATTGCTGCTTCTGTTGAGTTTTTTTTTTTTTAGTTAATTTTCTGCTAAACGTTCTTAAATATGTATTATTATTTTATTAAGTACTTCTTCTATTAAAAAGACTTTAAATTTTATCTTCTATTTAATTTTTAAAAAGAAATAAGCAAGGTCCGTATGTCCAAGATCACATTACTCTCTTTTATAATTGGGGTATGTTACTTAAAATTCTTGTTTTGCGAATGTCTAAGACAAAGAATTTACCTAATTTGTCTTGCAAATGCAAGATTATATGTAATGATAAAATTCTCTGTGTATTATATCCACAACACAAAATACCCCCTTACAAAATACCCTACTACACAAAATACCTGTTACTGGTCAAGATACCCCCGAGTATTTTATAAGATTTTGGTCGGGTATTTTGTTTTAGACCCCGGGTATTTTAATCAGTGCGATACGGTATATATAGTAACAAAATAGGTTTTTAAAAAACCCTATTTTGTTTCTATTAGAGCAAATTAGAATTTGTTATATGTAAAAACAAATCTAATTTAAATAATTATATTTTTTATAATTTTGTCTTTTCAAAAAAAGTATCAAAAATTTTGTCTTTTAAGTAAAATAGGTCAAAAACAATTTTATCTTTAAATTTTAATTTTAGGTTTTAGATCTCAAAATAATTTCGTTAATATGTATAGCTATAGTATAATAGATTATAATACTATAATAATTTATATAAATAAATCTTTAAATCTAAATATCTTGAGATTTACCAAGCCAATTTTAATAATCTAACTACTATTAGAAGCAAAAAATTCTTTTCTATAATTTTACTTAGAAGCCCAAGAAAAAAGAAGTTTTTTAGTAAGATAATCTTTCTTGGTCTTCTAATTAAAGTTGTAGAGCTATCTTTTCTGGTTTTAATAGTTTTTAGATTATCAAAATTTGACTAGTAAGTCCCAAGATATTTGAAATTAAAGATAAAAATATAGTATTATAAACTATAAAATTTTGTGTAACTACCAATTTGTAGATCCTTATATTTATGTCTTTAATTTCAAATATCTTGGGATTCACTAAGCTGATTTTGATGATCTAAAAACTATTAAAACCAGAAAAGATAGCTCTACAACTTTAATTAGAAGCCCAAGAAAGATTATCTT